TGACTGTGCTAATGACGGCTATTTTGTGCTTCCATTCATATACACACACTTTGATTGTAACTTCGCGCGAATTCGGTTAACTTCTGTAACCAAGGTTGTATCCTGGCACGATCTCGGTATCCTTTCGATGCCACGAGATCGCCAGCTAATAAACCTCGACTTGGTCCATTAACTGTCTTCTGGTATTCGGCTTCTCGGGGATTTTATGGAGTCATTTGGAACGAGCTTCTTACGCCTTCTGATTTATTTGGCACGTGTTTCTTGGTAGCGGTGTTCACAGTTAATCTCAACTCGACGCCACGTTACAATGGTCTAACTATAAAGATCTTTGACGAATTATTGATTTTTGTGCATAGGTTTGAAATGCTTTAAAGCTAATAGGCAATATATTGATACGTCCAACAAACTGATTTTACTACTCCCTTATATTCTACGGAATTCCTCTACTCTGATAATATTATGGTGTGTATTACTGATATCGATAGATAGAAATAGTATGTATCATCAATCGAAAGTGAAATGTCTGAAGGTAGAAGGTTAAAACAAATTCAAAGAGAAGAGTACGATGATAGAAAGTGATTAATATGGAAACGAAGGAACAATGAAGTATGAGACAATCGATTGATACTTTGCAAATGAAATATTCACTGTATGGTTCTTAGATTTCATCAAGAGATTCTATAATTCTTGGTCGACAGAGTTTGGTAGACCGATTTGTGTTCTTGTTCATCGCACAGGTAGTGTTGTCTATGAAGCTAATTGAATTCCAATATATAAATCCCTAGATTCTGACATTACGTTATACGCAATCTTTCGTTTATATATTACTACCACTGAATTAACTACTTCTATGTATCCAGTGTTCATTTTGCTGTGCTAACGAGACATAGCAACTTGGACCCATGCATATATGTGTCTGGTCCTACGTTGTAGCTAACTGAGTGAATGAGTGACTGACTGATTGACATTACCTCTTAAGTTGTCTTTATCTTCACATAAGCTGATCTACAGCGACTCACGTGCAATTGGGTTTATTCTCATTTTACTCAGTTAAGCCCTTTTGCTAACTCACTTAGCGGACAAAGTCAATCATTTCACATGGTATATATATGTCCATGTTATTCATATTCATCACTCACTCAATCACTCAAACACTATCGTCTCGCTCTTGCTCCCGCTCGCTTGCTCGCCTTTCCGCACAACTCTTCTATGCTTTTTTAACGCATCTGTACATTTGGATATATGTGTGTGGTCTCGTAATAAACGTAATCAACACTTCGTATTTGTCTTCCGATTAATATACCGTTGGTACGTGATATAGAACGGTTATCAAGACGAACTGTATACGAAGTTTAATGATTATATCGAATACCGACCACCACAGATCCATGAATTAGATTCAATATAAATTTATTGAAACATAATACTGACATGTGATGAAACAGCAGTTAACTGTGTTGCTGCTTTCCGATTCATCCCTTGATTTGTCATGGAAACTATCTTCATCTTGTTTATCTTACCAGTCAGCCAATGTGTTAATCAAAACAATAATAAACCTGATAGAAATAAGATTCGTGTTCAATCGATACTTTCAACAAATGACAATGTGATCAACGTCATTCTGACTACGATCAGCTATTCTTAAACAACCCTATATTATATTGCTACGTTCATCTAACGCTTTCTAGTCTTTAATAGTATCTACCCTGATGTGGAATTAATCACCCATGAATACAATCGGTGAGTTAGTCGAATCTATAAAAATTCTCTTCAAACAAACTGGAATGTTATTCGTTGATAACTTGTTGATAATTTGTTTCAGTTCAAAAGTGTTATTGTATCCAACCGTCTGATTCAGTTATGATCCATATTCCACTCAGTTATTCAAAGAAAAGAAAAAAACAATACTAATACTTCATTATCAATTGTCGACAAACAATTTTCACAGTACATTTATACTGATATAAGGTGACTACTTGATCGAAATATACATGTTCCCTTGTTCGTAATGCAAGACTGGCTTAGCAATTACCTATGCTTACTGTCCCATCAAGACGCTTAAACGATGTTATGAGAAAATATTAAACCAGTCAGTGAGAACAAACAAGATGAATAAGCAAAGATGAATAGTGGCTAGTAGTAAAATCCGAGACACGTGCTTCCTCCTTTTAGGGACTCAACGGCTGGATAAACCTCAATAGTACTTTTATTCACAAGCATTATAAACAAAGATAGTAAGTGACTAGTAATGAAGTCCAAGACTCAGGTTTCGTCCTATTTAACACTCATCAACTAGATAGATCTACATTCCAGTGTTCATCTACCACTTCACGACTCAAACCAATACCATTCACCTACTCAACCACTAAATCTCTCATCCATAGAAACATTCAAACAAACACTTCTTGACTGTCACTTTTTTCATTTCTCCGTGTATGCAAAAATTAAAAGGATTTTGAAAGAAAAACGTCATTGATCATATTGATTGATTTTTTCTATTTCCTCCTTATTTTTTTCTTTATTTTCATCATCATTGAGAAAATGAATATCTACACGTTATACGAAGATAATTAATCCAATTTCGTTTCTCTTAGAGATAAGAGAAACATTGTGGTGGGGTTATTTTCACATTTGTAAACTTCATGTAAATGTAGAATGATCTTCAAAGAATCCGATGTATTTTTTTTCCGTCTCTCTCCCTTTTTCGTTTCCTTCTTTTCTTTAATACACATTCTCTGAAGAAGTAGATTATCATGAGTGGCGAAACATTAGATCTAATTTTATTTTTAATCTATGCATTATGACATCTAACTCCACCTGTAGCTCTTCTACAATTACTGACTGTCCTAAGCATAGGTAATGGAGCAGAGTTGAGCATGAGATTAGCGACCACATTCTATAGGAAGCTTACACTCTCTGAAGAAGTAGATTATCATGGGTGACGAAACATCAGAAGATCTATTTGTTTTTAATCTATTCATTATGACATCTAACTCTACCTATGAATAGGTAATGGAGGAGGGTTGGGTATGAGATTAGCTAACCAGAAAACATAATTCAATTGTGATATCTATAAATATATTATAATGATTATTAATGAATAGACTAGCCGAATGTGAGTGAAAGTGATAGAGAACTAACATGAAGATCAGTTCTAGTAGTGATCTTCAAAAGGTTCGGTGTAGTTTCCTTTTCCCTAATACAAATTCTCTGAAGAAGTAGATTATCATGAGTGACGAAACATTAGGAGATCTAATTTTATTTTTTAATCTATGCATTATGACATCTAACTCCACCTGTAGCTCTTCTACAATTAATGATTGTCCTAAGCCTCGGTAATGGAGCAGAGCTGAGCATGAGATTAGCGACCACATCCTGTAAAAAACTTATACACTTAGATGAAAGCGCTAACCAGAAAACATAATTCAATTATGATATCTATAAGTATATTATTATGATTATTAATGAATAGACTTCCGTATGTGAGTGAAAGTGATAGAGAACTAACGTGATGATCAGTTCTAGTATTGAAGTGAAATATTGCTGTAATCAATATAGACTTTCAAGTTGATTGAGTTGAAGTAACGAAACTTCATATATTTTATTAGAGAAAGATATTTATCCACCTTTAGAAACTATTTGGAAAGGGGAGGGATTTGTGAAAATTTGAGTAATTCAATGGTTGAATTCATCAGTTAAATAAAGCTAGTCGATTACGGAAATCCTTAAATCATTGGACGATGGAGGAATTTCGTGGACTGCTTGAAGTTGGACATACACACCAATGAGTGCTGATCGGTCTACAGTTTGAGCGTTCGTGCGCGAGACAGAGAAAATACTCCAAATGTAACTGATATATTTTCACTGAAATGGAGAGGAATTCGGATATATCTGGAAAACCCTTTGGTTTCCAATAGCAAAGCTTATCTGGATAAAATATTTACCATTCGATTAACAGGGATAATAAAAACATACAAATAATGAATGCACATATATGCATCGGTTCAAGTTGCCATACCTCATTAGCGCAGCAAGATGAATACCAAATTCATAGAAGTAGTTGATCCAATGGTAGTAATATATAAAGGAAAGATTGCATACAAGGATATAGTACAGGTAGAAAGAATTAGTTCACAAAAAGAAAAATACGGAACGATTTTAATCTTATAGTTTAAAGGGGACAAAAAGTGTATACACCTACGCTATTATGATCGATTCTGAGCCATGTCACCAAAAATCTACAACCATTAGGGTTAAGATAGTCGCTCGGACCCCAACCAAGTAGTCTGCATCTACCATCATGGCTAAGACTAGAAGTTAGTCAATTCAAGCACTGACTATATATAAATATTTATGATGAAAGCTACATATCATAAATTATATTGAGTTTGAGACAACTGTCTTGTTATACCAATCAATTAAGAGATCGCAGCTCAAAATGATTCGTGCTAAAGTACCTAAAAATGACGATAGGTAACAAGTGTACAGATGCCGCCAATAAGAATGTCAGTTATTTATGGTGTATAGATAATTCTAAACATGAAATAAAATCTTTACTAAATATGAACCATAATTCCCATTGGAGCCTCTCTCAGGCTACTGCCGGTCTTAAGCCTAGATAAAGAAGGAAGTCTGGGCATAGAGTTATCGACCTCATCCGATAGAAATTATTTATTTGGACACATGAATATTGGTACAAGAGAGCGCCAATATATATGCGCCACACAAAACAATGAAAATTCGAGAGGAATACAAAGAAAGAAAAAAAAGCTAAGGAGCGCAACAAAAAAAGAGAACAATAACTGAGAGATTGGCGTAAGGTAATGTGCTAGTAATCACGGAACGCAAAGCTACAATCGGAAGAAATCTTTCAGGTAAAGGAGACACAACCACTTTTAATGAAGAAAGTAAAAGAAGGTTACAGCAAGATCGCCACTGGCTTCTATTCTGAGCCATATCTGATAATGTCTCTAGCCACTGTGTAGCACCATCTCTCAGACCCCAACCAGGGAGTCGTGAAGGACCAACACAAGCCAGTCCTTTGCAACTTTCATGCCACGACACCATGTCATGCACTGATCACCTCTCCGCTTCTTCCAACCAGTCCCAGAGTCGGCAAATAATGCACGACGTGGAATTCTCTGGGACGACATTCGTAGAACATGTCCAAGCCACCGAAGTCGGTGTTTCAAGATGGTAACACCAATTGCATTGTCATCTCTGTGCCCGAACACACGATGCCGAACCTCTGCATTACTGACATGGTGTTGCCACTGAATGTCAGCAATCCTTCGGAGACAGCGATGATCGGACACAGAGTCGTCTAACGTCCTCAACTCGGAGAGACCAGGTTTCACAAGCATAGAGCAAAACTGCTCTCACGGACGCGTTGTGAATCCGACCTTTTACAGCCAGACTAACATCACGAAGGCGCCCATCCGGTAGAAAACTGATTCTTTAAAACGCTGTACATGACCCATGGAACTTCTTTGATCTTAGAATATCTTAATGAATATTTGAGCAGCTGGACAGTCATAACGGACAATATACAATTTATTTATATATTAATTGGTCTATATATAGTTGCTGTAAATTGTTCAAAAGTACTTCGAACTATGACATACACTGAATCCTTACATTTCCAATCACACTATTACTACTCACATGTAATATGTAACTAGAGTAAAATAGCACAAATTCTGATTTCAACATTAATTGTTGAATTCATGAATCAATTGAAGATTGACCACCATGAAAAACCTGGAATCACTTGACAGCCGTTTCGTTCTACTGCGAGACTCCTCAGTAGTGCAAATCTACGCACCCGACCCATAGGATTCGAACCCAAAACATCTTGGTCTCACACGCGAATACTTAACTATCTAACGGTTCCAGATAAAGATCTTCTTTGTTGAAACATGTGAATGATAGAAATTTTATATTATCGATGAAAATATATAGTAAACCTTGAAACAATTCTCAAATATGTTCATTATGTACTTGTGTGTGTGTCTGTGTCTGAGTTTTTGTTGTTCGTCGTAAATTATGTTTTTTCTCTTCTTTTTTATCTTTTCTCCTTTTCTATTTCCTCTTAATTAAAATTCACTGAATTGATGAAATTGTGAGAAAATTCAACAAAAATGATGAGAATGACTGTCAACGTAGATGAAGATGATAGTGTCCAAACTCTTATGATCAACTAAGAGTTACGTAATCATTATGGGATAATGATAATGATTGTAGCTATAACAGAATAGAATTGATTCATATACCATAGTAACAATCAGGATGCTGAATGAATAAATAAGAGTAAAATAAATATGGAATCCTGTAAACGGGATCGTGGATGCACACGGCTGAGGAGGAATTGATCGTCAAGTTCTTCCAGGTTGTCAATTATGCTCTGGCCCTCATTGACTCATGAATTCAACTATCAAGATTTATTAGCTGTTTCGTTCTACTGACTGTGAGGGCTTTTACTGTCATCTTTGATATTAATGACTGAAGTTCATCAATCCACATGTATTGATACCGTTATCATCTACAAACTGGCCTCATTTAGTATGACTACTGGCAATGGAATCAAGGATAGGACGATTCATTCTGATTCGGACTTCCCTACAGTGTGTACATTGGTTTGAGTTGAACAATATACGTGATCACATGCGTTACACTAAAAGGTTATAAGCTATCGAAATACTGGATTCCAAAATTGGTACGATTATCCATGTAGCGAGTTCTTAATATGATGAAATATGACTCATCGTTTTCAGCACTGATCATGGAGAAGAATTTTTTAATGAATTGTACACTACACAGTAATGTCTTCATCTGTATCTCAGTCAGCTAATTTCACATCTCGAGTAGGATGTCGGTAGTTTTAGTGTGATGTGTGCTACTCAATCTCGACATTTATAAGTAGTATGTATCACCAATCGAAAGTGGAATGTCTGGAGACAGAAAATTTGGAAAATCGAAAACCAGAGGACGAGAACGGAATACATACTACTAATCCCTTATTCAGACTATTACCCTCAATCATTGTTACGACCGTGAAAACACAATTATTACATAATGTACATCGATCAATTACCTACTGACAAACCATATATGTTGTGAACTTGAATTACTATCCTATTGATATCTATGATTAGAAAAGTAGGTGTATGATGATTCCCAGTGTTGTTTCACGATGTAACTCTTAATCATTCCAGTTTTAATGGAACGAATAAAACTTCCTAAATGTTAGATCTTTCGAAGTGTCCAAGTCAGCCGATTGAGATACGCGCAAAACCGAAGTTTCCAAAACAACGATTTGTCTACAATAGCGATTCTTCATTGAATAATACACAAAATGTAGTTATAAACCTCAACTTGTGAGGTGTCTGGGGCGTTTAAACACGTCTTTCAAGTATGAAAATAAAAAGGCTTCCTGTAACAGTAACATAATTACAACATACGATAGTACAAAGGACAGCTGATAACTGTGTCTAAATTAGATAACAGTTTACGAACAACCGAAACCCGAACCAAGAGCAAAACATTATGGAACCTGGTGCGGCCGTCCAGTGCTTCCAGGTTTTCAATGTTGGTCTAGCTTCAACTGACTCATGATTTCAATCTGTGAAATTACTAAAATCTCCACAAAACCCATTCTGATAATCAACTGCTCACTAGTGACTGATTTCAGGAAAAACTCCCGAAGTTCTAGTGAGAAGCCGTTACCAGTGGAGTTCAACCAGGTCTGTTGTGAGATAGTAACTCACTGAAGACAATGGTGTACGGTGACGCAACTTCGTGGATTGGTTGAAGTTAGACATTAACACCGTTGGATGCTGGCTCAGTGGTCTAGTGGTTAAGTGCTCGCGCGCGAAGCCAGTAGGTCCTGGGTTCGAGCCCCGCGTGGTGCGGGGTCGTGGATGCGCACTGCTGAGGAGTCCCATACTAGGACGAAACGGCCGTCCAGTGCTTCCAGGTTTTCAATGGTGGTATAGCTTCAACTGACTCATGATTTCAATCTGTGAAATTTCTAAAATCTCCACAAAACCCATTCTGATTTCAAAGATTCATAGACAACCTACTTCGAGATGTGCCATTTGCGCAGGGGTATATAGACAACTTGTTAATTGCCAGCCCCGATTTGCAATCACACGAACAGCATGTACAAATAGTGTTGAAAAGACTGGATGAACATGGAATTAACATACATCAAAGTAAGTGTGTCTTCGGTGTTCAAACTTTAGAATTTCTCGGTCACACAATAAGCCCAGAAGGGATTAAACCGATCAAAAAAGAAGTAGACACCATCAAACAATACCCCATACCTAGTTCTCTAACACAACTGAGAAGTTTTCTAGGTCTAATTAACTTTTATCGCAGATTCATACCAGGTTGTGCACAATTAATGCAAACTTTGACAGATTCACTCAAAGGAAAACCAAAAGAATTCAAACTGTCTTCTGTCGTCGTCGAAGCTATTAAACAGCTTAAAGATAAATTAGCTCAAGCAACTACGTTGGTGTATCCGAATTCTCTTTCCCCACTTGCTTTGATGGTGGATGATTCAGATAAAGCAGTAGGCGGTACCCTTAACCAACTGGTTAAAAACGCCTGGAAACCAATTGCTTTCTTCTCAAAAAGACTCGCTCCAGCAGAGACAAGGTATTCTACCTTCGGGTGAGAACTTCTTGTAATCTACCTAACCATTAAACACTTCCGACAAATGTTAGAAGGCAGGGAATTTATAGTCTTTACGGATCGCAAACCACTAACGAATGCACTAAAAGCGAGAGCTGATAAATACTCACCTCGAGAAGTCCGACACCTTGACTATATATCACAGTTCACAAGCGATATCCGACATGTCAAAGGTCAGGACAATCAGGCGGCAGATGCTTTATCTAGGCTAGAAATGAACGTGCTACAGCAGTCCACAGTAAACTTCGAGACGTTGAGAAACGAACAAGAGCAGGATCCAGAATTACAAAACCTGCTTAAAACAAACAATTCAAGTCTTAATTTAAAACAGTTCCCATCACCTGTCGATGGTATTCTAATCTACTGTGACACGACCAAGGCGATGCCGCGACCTTTCGTTCCCAAAAGTATGCGAAAGTTTATATATAATAACTTTCATTCTTTGTCTCATCCTGGCGCAAAAGCTTCAACAAAACTAATCAATGCCAGATATATATGGCCGAATTTACAGAAGGATGTACACAAATGGGTTAGAGTGTTCAGCATGTCAACAATCAAAGATTATTGGTCACACAAATTCACCCATAGGTGTTTTCTCGCAACCAGATGCATGTTTTGCCCATGTGCATATCGACTTGATAGGTCCTTTACCACGTTCAAACGGTTTTAATTATCTTTTTACATGCATAGATCGATTTACCAGATTCCCTATAGCCATCCCGATAGCGGATATCACAGCGGAAACAGTAGCCAAGGTTTTCATGCAGAACTGGGTAACCATTTTTGGCACACCCATAACAATAACGACTGATAGAGGAGCGCAATTCGAATCCGAACTATTTAATAACTTGGCTAAACTTCTAGGCTCCAATAGGATACGCTGCACTGCATATCATCCTCAGGCTAATGGGATGGTAGAACGTTTTCACCATCAGCTAAAAACCGCCCTTATATCTCACTCGAACCCCAATCAGTGGACAGAATTCCTACCATTAGTTATGTTGGAAATACGAACATCTGTCAAAACTGACGCACAGTGTTCAGCTGCGGAACTGGTTTTCGGAACAACTCTGACACTACCCGGTGAATTTGTTAACCCTAATACTAACAGTCAAAAACGTAATTTAGAAAATTATGTAGATCAACTACGGGACCACATGTCTAAACGTAAGCCGATTAGTACTCGTGAACAATCGCGCGCCGTATATATACCTAAAGACCTAAGCAATCGCAAGCACGTCTGGATAAGATGTGACAAAATAAAAGCACCACTCAGTCCTCCATTTGAAGGTCCTTTCAAAGTCGTCTCAAGAAAATCTAAATATTTCGTGATAGAAAAACATAGAAACATCGACACAAAAAGTATTGATAGGATAAAGCCGGCTTATCTAGATCATGAACCACCATACGTGTTGTTAGATCGTTTAACTGACAAATCCATTACGGAATCGAAATGTAAAGATGATAAATCTTTACAAATGACTAAAACGGTTCGCTGGGCACATCCAATTAGTCAGTCAAGGATGTTGACAGTTTCGGCTGCAGGATAAAATCTAACCACGTAGCTAGTCACACACTGCATCTACTTAAAAATAATTTTTTTTCCTCATTCCGCCTCACCGACAACTCCCCAGACCTTTTACCTTTGATATATAAGTGTTATGTT